GAACATCTGGCCTTCACCTGAGATGGGTCTTTGAGGTCACCCAATTCCTGTCCTCGCCTACCATGGAGGGATCTGACAAGATCGACAGCTCACTTTTTTTTTTTTTGGTCTTTTTGAGTCAGAGTCTCCCTATTGCCCGAACTAGCCTGGATTCACTATGGAGACCAGACTGGCCTCGCTCTCACAGAGATTCACCTTCCTCTGCCTCTCTGAAATTAACAGCAAGCATCACCACACCCGGTTGACCTTGCACCCATATGGTGGCTGGCAGCTGTCTGTAGCTCAAGTTCCAGGGAATCCAGTGCCTTCTTCTGACCTCCTCAGGCATTGCACGACACAGGTATGCTTGCACACATGCAGGCAATACACTCATACACATAAAAACAATAGAATTTTAAAGAAGATAATCAAGATAATCCACAAAACTTAAGTCACCAAAAAAAAAAAAATTTCCAATATTCTACTAGATTACGCAGTCCACGTCACTCCCTCACTCCAAAGCACCTGTGTTCTTCCCCATTCACTCTTTTATTCCACTGGATACCTACTATGTACAAGGCATTATGGGAGCTATAGAGATAAATGGCTCCTGGCATCTGCCATGGAAAAATTTATAAACTATAGCCAGAGGGCTGGAGAGATGGTTCAGAGGATAAGAGCACTGGCTGCTCTTGCAGAGGACCCAGGTTTTATTTCCAGCACCCACATGGCAGCTAACAACCATCCATAACCCCAGTTCCAGGGGATCTGGCACCTTCTTCTGACCTCCATGGGCACTGCACAACTCAGGTGTACTTACTCACAGGCAGAGAATACACTCATACACATAAACTAAAAATAAAGGGGCTGGATAGATGGCTCAGCGGTTAAGAACACTAACTGTTCTTGCAGAAGACCCAGGTTCAAATCCCAGCACCCACATGGCAGCTAACAACTGTCTGTAACTCCAGTTCCAGGGGATCCAATAGCCTCCTCTGTCCTCCGCGGACACTGCACGACACAGGTACACTTAACTAGATGCAGGCAGTGCACACATACACATAAAATAAAATAATTAATAAATAAAATAAAATAAGAGCTTTCTTAATGGAATGCCCCCAACAAACTATTATACCAATATTAGGAAGGGATCTTCTATAAACATCCTAAGGAACCTTCAACTTCCTTGACAAAAATCCTCTCAGTTTCAGATTTGAAACAGGTTTTTATGTCCACATTTAGAGGCAAGGTCAGAAGGCATATAAATTATAGCCAGAAAGACAAATCTGAGGAAGTTAGCCAGGATCCTGCAAGAAGTAATGCCTGATGTGGAGTTGTGCCAGGTAATGTTAGAACCATAGACTCTGGAGGCAGCAGTGAGCTATGTTCACATCCTAACTCTATCACTGTGATTAACCTCTCTGCCTCAATATCTTCATCTATAAAATGGAGCTACAACATGTTTCCTCTAACAGAGTCAGTGGCAGGGTAAATGAGCAATTGCTGCAGTCAGCTCAGAGCATGGGAAGTGCACACACACACAGAGGCATTGTACAGGTGATTTTTATGAACCCTCAAATGCAGAAACTGAGCACAGAAGTCCTGGAGAACTGTGCACAGTAATACACACCTAATCCTAGTTATTCAGGAGGCTGAGGCAGGAGGACTGAGAATTATAACACAGTGAGACATCCCACACACACAAGCACTCCAAGGAGAAAAACATAAAGATTCATAAGATTTGAGTATACAGAGAGAAATACATTCTAACCAAGAGAGGAACAGACCAGTAAGAAGCTACTATAGGGCTGGCAAGATGGCTCAGCAGGTCAAAGTAGCAGCCTGAGTTCAATCCCTAAAATCTATAGTAGAAAACAGAGAACTGACTCCTGAAAGTTGTCCTCCCACTTCCACACACACTGTGGCATACGTACCACCCACACATATACATCATACACATACAAAAATAATAAATAAAATACACTACCACGATAATTTTAGCAAGAAGGGCTAACTCAATATGGTAGATGTGGAAATGAGGAAAAAGTAGATGAAGATTTGAGAAGGACAAACAGAAAAGAGACATCAGTAATTATTCTTCCGTATTTCTTCTCTTTCTTCTGATACAGTGCTGGGGAATAATCCTAAGGCCTTGTACCTGATAGATAACCACTGAGCTCCATCCTCGCAGACTGTTGACTATCTCTTCATTTCCCAGTTGTTTCTCTGCTGCCACCCCTCCAGATCACTCATCACATCATTCCTCCTCCCCTGTGACTGACTTGGGCCATAGGACATTATCAGATAGATCCCAATCTAAGAAAAAGAGGGCTTGATCCTCAAACCTATGAACCATGGGTCCCAACTAACATGACCTCGTCTCTTAGCAGTATCTTCCAAATGCCACGCCAACCACAGCAATCTGCACAGTTCTGCTGCCTTTCCTCAACAGGTCACTGACAGCAAACCAGTGTGCCACCTTCCATTGCTGCCATCTTGCTTCAAGATGGAAGACCAAACCACAGATTACAAAGAGAGCCTCAACCCATTAAGTATCATTACCTTCTATGAATGTTTCCTGTGAAAGACAGCATGAATGTCTCATCAAAGACTGGGTTAAGGAAATGGAGGGTATAACTCAGTGACAGAGGACAGAGTACAGAGATTGAGCCCTGGGCTCAGTTGCTAGCATGGGAGCAGGAGAGGTTGAAATAGGCACTCCCAACCTACCTCCCTCTCTGAAATGAAACCATTTGCAATGTAGTCAGAGACTTAGCTGCATAGGTTTGGATACTCATAAGTTTAAAAAAAAAAAAAAAGATTTCTGCTAGGTAGAAAGGTCAAGTTCATTGACCATTTTCATCTAGCTGCTGTACCTCTCAGCATCCCTAAGCTCTAGTTCAGGAAGCCCTATGATCATCACCACCAGATTTTCCTAAAAGAACCACATCACAAGTGAACTAGTCACCTCTCCTTTTCATAACTAAAAGTTCACCAGGCCAGAAGCACCACTCACCAACTTCTCCTGCTCAGCACTGAAGAGAACACAAGAACTGGTGAGTTAACGGAGCAGTCTACCTCAAGGGCAGTCACTTTTCAGTCATAACAGAATCCATCACACTGAACATGCCGGATACCAGTGAGCTCAGTCTGTGACTCCTCCTATCACAGGAGCCATTTTCACCATGACAACATCCAAGGCACTGGGAACTGACCACTTTGTGAAACTTAACCAGATGGGATCTGGTCTCTTAGGCCAGTTTCAAACTCATTATGCAAGGGAGGCAGGTGGGATTTGATGCTGCTCCTCAATTCCCATAGCTACAGCATGAGGACCATTCTTACACACTTGATGTCACAGCAAGACCAAAGAGATCACCTACTATGTGCACACACACAATCATCTGCAGTGCCAAGAGGAAGTAAGAACTAGAAGGTAGTGAAAGGCATCCAGGTACTTCCTTTTCCTTTTCTCATCTTTCCCAGACAAATCCTAGCCACCTGTTTCATCAGATCATAAAGTATGGCCAACCCAATCCAGGTTCAGAGTGTTTTTTTTTTCATGGCTGATGGACAGACACACGATAGATACCTTCCCTTTTTTTTAATGGACTTTAAGAAATTCATCCAGGGTCTAGAGAAATGACTAAGCAGTTAAGAGTACTTGCTGCTTCTGCAGAGGACCCAGGTTTAGTTCCTAATACCCACATGGCACCTCACAATCTATAATTCCAGTTCCAAGGGATCAGATGCCCTCTTCTGACCTCCACCGACATTGCATGCACGTGGTGACCTTACAATCCTGTAGGCAAAGCTCTCATACACATAAAATATAAATACATTTTTTTGAAAAGATTCATGCAGGCAGAAGGTAAAATTTGGGAATATTCTTTCTCAGCCCTGAAGAGGACACAAGAACTAATTTGAAGTATTTGGAGCCAGCCATGGTGATAATCCCAGTCCTCAAGAGACTGAGGTAGGAAGGCTACCACAAATTCAATCTTCATGGCAAGTTTTAGGCCAACTTTGTCTCAGGACCCTGTCTCAAAATTTTAAAAATTTAAAAAAGAACGGGCTGGCAACATGGCTTGGAGGGTGATAGCACCTGTTGCCAAGCCTGAGGACCCGAGTTTGATTTTCCAAGACCTACATGGTGAGGAGAAAGAACAGACTCCTGGAAAGTTGTCCACGCATATGCAGTATGTCATGCACAGACATATACAAAATAAATAAGTGTAATAAAAAACAGGTATCTGCCGGGCGTGGTAGTACATGCCTGTAGTCTCAGCACTTGGGAGGCAGAGGCAGATGGATCTCCGTGAGTTCAAGGCCAGCCTGGTCTACATAGTGAGTTCCAGGACAGCTGGGGCTTACAGAGAGATCCTGCTTCAAAAAGACCAAAAAAAAAAAAAAAACCAGGTATCTGGAGCTCAGCATGGTGAATGAGCTTAGCATCTGAACATGCATATCACACATCATCTGAGTAGAAACAGCATGAGCCTTACCTACTGCAAGCACGCAGGAGCATGCACACCTCCATGCACGCACATAGGCCATAATTTCAAAGACTACTCTCTGGGAAATGGAACTAACAAACATTCCTCAGAACTTCAACTACACTTTTAGTCAAAATCACATTTCACATTGGCTTTTTTGGTTGTTGTCACTTTTTCCTTAAGCCAATACCAAACAGGCTCAGTCCCCGCCCAGGTAACTGTCCACACTTAACAAACCTCACATGGTTCTGAATCCTGCAAACAACATCTAATTCTCCAGATACATATCTGCACTCTTTTGCATAACTGCAACATGATGAAATATCGTTTCCCAAGTTAAAACACTGGGGGGAGGAGGGTACAGAGGGGCAGGCAGCAGAGAGGTAGGTGGGCAGAAGAACGGGAAAAACAGCAAGGAGAAAATAAAGCCCACTGCCAGTTGGCTGTACACTTGCTTTTGGTACTAAAGAAGTTAGAGCTATCCAACCCTGTAATTATTGCCAGGATTAAAAATTTGTTACTCACATAATCATGAAAGGCTTTTGCTTCACTTGAATGTTCACAAGTGTCTCTCCTTTCAGGAGCTGCACAGTAAAGGTCCCAAAATACACTGCAAATCGAAAAACAAAGTAAGATCAGGTTACTAATTATTACTTGTGTATACAACAGCGAGTGCAGGATACAAGGCACTAACAGCACCAGGTCTCCCAAAGACTGCATCCTACCTTACAGCATTCACTAGACAAACTGAGCCCTGAGAACAAAGTGGATCCAACCTTTTCTGGCAAGACAGACATCTGTAATAGTTCCCATCTACCCAGTACCTACTCTTGTGCTGGGTGCTTCATCCTGGTAACAGTGTCCATTGCTAGTGGACACTGAAGGAGTTTCACATACTGGATCACTAAAGCTTGGAGGGGTCAGCACAGCTCACCCATTGGTGCCCAGATAAGAATCTGGATAAGAATCTACTTGTCTTATCTGCGTCCTTTTCGCCACCCCAAACCAAAATAGTTGCACTATATTGTAAAAAGGTTAAGTTGTCAAAGTCAGGGCACAACTATGATTCATCTACACAGCAATCTGGGTGACTCTGGCAATGAAGGGAACCTTACAGGTTTTTAATCTCACAACCCCCACCCCCACCCATGAGCCAAAGAGGAGGCTGTGACAACCAAGCATCTTATCCCTTCTCATTGCTAACAAAAGGCCCTCTTAAGACAGCACCCATCCAGTACAGAGTAGGGAGGGGAAAGCAGGCATAGACTGGCACCCAGACTCTATGTAATTCACTCTGTCACTTCAATGCTCCATGTTCATGAGAACAGAAACACAAGTCCTATGCAAACAGGAGAGTACTGGGAGAGGGGGGGTTCCTGGTATTAATAAGAGGCCTTAGAAACATTCCAAGATCAGAAACTAAGACCCAGCTGGAACCAGCTTGGGGGCACAATGGGCAGTATGATTGAGATCCGATCTGACTTGTGGTCCAGGGCTGCTACTAGCCCCATCACAGCCAGCTCCAGTTACTGGACAAGCATCTCCCTCAAGATGTGTCTATACATAAGCTGTTCCATCCAATCCACTCCACTGCCTCCTCCAGCTCCAGAAAGCAGCCAGCATTTTTTTAAAAGGGTTGAGTTCCAAGACACACTTCTAATAAACCAGACCAAACCCACTCAACTCCACTACAACCTGAGCCCAGCACAAGCAACCTTAACATTCCTGGAGGAGGAGGGAAAAGCTGCAGGAGACTCCAGGTACAACAGGAAAACCAGGACTCGTACAGCTGCAGAGGGGAGGCTGGGGAAGGTTCCTTCCTGTCTTCACAACTGCCCCCGAAGCATGCCACACAGGAAAGGCTTCAAGTCCTGAATTCTCAGTCCCTTCCAAGTACTTAACTTTCAATCAGAAGCCCAAGTTTCTACAAGATCCAGGGTGATCAGACCTGCTAATCCCATCTACATACCTCCAAAACCAGCAGCAACCAACCTATCACCCACTCCCGCAGGTGGAAACCTTGCGCCATACCAGACGCCTCCAACCCGGCAGTTGGGAGGTTGGCAGAAGTAATTAAAAACTCATTTTCTCTGCACAAGTTAGAACAGACACTTCATCCTCCCGCTGTTCAAAGAGACTTGAAACAGTAACCTGAGCTGGCAGTTAGGTACGTGCTAGGATCCCAACACTACACTGCATTTTCCTGAACTCCAGCAAAATATCACAAGCCACCCTGCTTTCTCTTGCTTTTCGAAAGGATGTGTAAGACTCCACCAATCAATCCCACAAAACACCCAGGTCACACTCATGACAACTTAGGCTTTGACTCTAAGCTTCCCTCCTGCCTAATGAAAAGACCACAGACTGCTTAGACCTGAAGAGGATCACAGATAAGGAAAGTGAGCCCCTAACAAGCTGCAGGCATCCTGCCAGGCCACCTCTGGTTGGTTAAGGTTCTTGGTAAAATAAGGCTTTGTGGTTACAGAGATGCTAGGGGGGTAGGGGGGTAGGGAGGCAGAGGAAAGGAAGGTCCAGTCAGTCTGAATCAGTGTTTCTACAGGAAGGGCAGCCCTTTCTTGCTTCTTCTCAGGGTCCCTGGAAAAGGCCCAGGAGATGTCTCGTAAGGTTTGGAGCTTACAGAAGAAAACATAAGGGACAGGCCAGTTGCAGAACAGACCTGGTGTCCCCTCCATTCCGCCCTGCCCCCACTCCTCTAATTAAAGCAGCATGCAGGATTGACAAAAACCCTTCTAGATATTTCCAAGCCCCTGCCTAGTGCCCCAGAGTGAGACAGAAAAGTAAGGAGTTTCTACCCTGGCACAGCAAGATTTAGTCAGTTCCCTACAAGTGGACAAACACCAGGAAAAAACTTCAGACATCAGCCTCTTCTACCCATTCCTCCTTACCAGGCCTGCCTCACAGAAGTGCCCTGCTCTGCCCAAAGGGCCTGCTCCAAGCCTCCTGTCTTTGTTCACTTGGACCCAGGCCTCAGAACAAAACACATACAAAACTATCACACAAACTTACCACCACCACGAGTGCAGAAACCCAGGTGGTTCTCCCAGTGTGATGTTTTTTTCCCATCGAATCTGGAAAAGAGGGAGCAGAGGCAGATTAGAGAGGCAGAAAGGAGGGGTTTGACGGGGCTTCCCCAGCCAAAAGGCTGTGAAGGCCAACTAACAATAAATGCCAAAAGGTGATAAAAATTCAAAATGGTGGCCACAGTGGCTGCTCCTGAAAACAAAGGCTCTAAGAATAGTGGGGAAGAGGGGGTGTCAAGAAACTGCATGCTAGGGAGTTCCACTCACCTCTGATAAGAAGGTCTGTGCAGATTTCTGTGCTCCTACGTGCAGTAAATATTCGTAGACGTATAAAGCTAACCTGGAAAGTGGGCAGGGGCAGACAGAGACAGAGGAAAGGGTCAGATCACTCTGGGGCTAGCTCTGGACCCTACCAGACACCTCTGAGCCCTGTCTGTGCCATCCCATTGTGGCCAAGACTAGAGGTAAGCCCCTACCACCCTAAGCAGGATGCCCGTAAGAACAGTTAGTGGGTGGCTACCAGAGACAAGCAGCCCCAAGCCGCGGGAGCTGGAGAACGATCCCCAAACTTGAACTTCCAAGTGGCTCTGGGACCAAACCCACATAGATCTTTCAAACTCGTAAGCCACCGGGGCCCTGGGCCAACCTCCTTTTCCCAGGCCACTCCAGCTCTCTACCCTCGCCCAGCTTGGGGGTCCGGGCAGACTCTCCCAGTCCGGGTGCTTGGCGCGCTCTGGAGAGGGCAGCAAAGCGCCGCCCTCACCACCTCCCCCCCAAACAACTGTCCCCCAAGCCTAGGGCCAGGCCGGCGCCGCCTTCCCAGCCCAGCCCGGCGCCCCAGAGCGCACCGGGCTAGCAGCGAGGCCGCGGGCAGGGAAGGAAAAGAGCTCCGGGCCGAACAAAGCCCCGGGCACGCACTCCTCCAGCCACCGGCGGACAAAAGGAACCTTCGGGGCTGCAGAAAGCCACGCGCCCCCTGCCCGCACCCGGTGGGCAAAGTGCGGTCACCGCGGAGGGCGCCCAGCCCCGGGGAGTGCAACCAGCTCGCTGCGGGACCTCGCCCACCCTCACCGTGGGCCCCCGCGCCCGCTCCGCCGCGCGCCCACAAGTGCCCCTCAACCGCGGCTGCCCCGCCGCCCCTTCCCCGGTGCCCCAGCCTCCGCGGTTCCCAACAATGGGCTCTCGCACGCCGCCGCCGCGAGCCAGGGACCTGGCCCCCGGGGGTCCAGGGCGAGCGGCGCGATCCCCGTGCCCACCTGCCTCCCACCGCCCGCAGCTCGCGGCGCGCGGCCCCACTCGCGATAGGCTTACTTTTCCCGAGCCTGCCCATCCGAGGGCACCGCCGAGCCTTTGCCTTTGGCAAACATGGTCTGCAGAGAAGAGGGCGCCGAGCCCGCCGCCGCTACCGTCCGGTCTCCCGAGCTGCCCTGCTCCCGGCCCCCTCCCGGCGCTCGCCCACTCTCTCGCTCTGCTCGCCGCGCTCCCTCCCTCTCCGGCGCTGGCTCCGCGCTCTTTCCAGCTGTCAAAGCGTCAGCCCCGGCCGCGGCCCCATCGCTCTGGAACTCCTCCCGCGCCGGCTCGGCCTG